GTGATCCTTCCTAAAAACGATGCATAGTTTTACAAACAGAATTCTAAAAGAAATATATTTTCAGAGAATATAAATAGAGCAATCTGAGAAAAATACATAGCTTGCAATCTAAAAAATTAAAATCTTAAACTGTACCCTTTAAAAAATATATAAACTTTTATGTACTTTGCAAACAGTTATATCAAACAATGACACATAGCTTCCTTAAAGTATATGTGCAAGCAAAATTAAAGTAAGTGAAAAACTATATCACTAATGGTATAAACCACAATGTTTCATTTATGAGCAGGGACTTGCAATTCTGAGCAAAAGTGTTTTCTCATTAAATTTTAATTAAGATAAATGCTGCAGAACCACTCACCTCCCCTACTGTAGCTTCATCACACCACTGAAGATACAACTAGGAAAAAAAGAACAGTCACTAAAACTTCAGAATACCAAAGAGAAAAAGGATAAAAAAAGTTATTTCTTGCCATAGTAATTTTTTATAAACCAATTTTATAAGTCACATATGTGAGGGTTTACTTTCCTTAGCTACTACACAGAATTATCAGATTTAATGGTGGAACTTTATAAAAATATTTCTTATTCACACAATACAACTCTAAATACCATTATGTAAACTTCAAAAGGCCAAAGTAAAATAATGAGTAGGCAAGAATCACTCATTTTTACAAACAAAAAACTAAAAGTGGAAATGTCAGGTAATTTGTTCAAAGATAACGATCAAATAATTTGGGTAACTATCCCAATCCTAGAATTATGAATACTTGACTATTTTCCCATTTCTCAATAACTTTAAAATAACCGATAGGGAAGATTATATTTTATGAGAGGAAAAAACTTATTTTTAAGCCATATTATCTGGTATAATATTATACCTCTGCAGTCAACAGCATATTGTTGACTAATTCCATGTAAGCTTTCATTTCTGCTTTTTGGACTTCATCCAGCCCATCACTAAGAGAATGGCCCTAAAGAGAATTTAAGAAAATTTAAAAGAACATCATGTTAAATACACAAAAACTTTCAGTTATCTTAATAACAAGTACTATAACATATAACTATCCAGTGGATTAATTTCTAAAATACCCCTCAAAACAAAATTATTTTATATAAAAGCATATAATATTCTGTATCACTACAAAATATTAATAAGTAGTATTTGTCA